TCACTAGAGCACCTCACAAAGGGTAGACATATGGGAAGCTGCCGTTAAGCCCTACGTTGAAATATGTAAAACGGAGTCGGGGGTTAATCCGTCGTATCCGGAACGAATGAAGCTTTTGGAATATCCCGACGAGGAAGAGTTTAGGTGTTACATGAAATGTTTGTATCAAAAGCTGGATATTATAGACGACGTGGGACAAGTGAACGTTTTTAAACTTGCCACTCAGCTGACTCAGGATGATTACGATCATGCGGTAGGATGCAAGATGGTAGTGCGCGGGGAACCAGATCTTTGCAAGTTAGCGTACAAAATGTTGCTTTGTACTGTAAATTTGGTTCCTCAATGAGCTGAAATTACGACATTGTGCTGCATAAATATATAGCAAACCCATCATTGGACTAAAATAGCAATTATTGTCAAGTTATGTAGTGTAAATGCCTAATTTAGAAAATATAAAAAATTTAAATGTATGAATTCACAAAGAGCTGCATTACGAGTATAATACGGGAAAACTCGGAAAATTACACGCTTGAATAGAAATTACAAAATTATAAATCTAGATTGGTCCGAAGGGTTTTGTCTTAATGATGGACCTAATTTAATTACATATTAATTTGGATTGATTAAAATATAAACTGAAAACGAACAATGGTCTTACATGACTCACATCTGAATTTCTTCTTGCATTTCTTGAAGGGGTGACTAATTTTCAAACACCCGAAGAAAGCACAAATACATCTGCCCTAAAATTCCCTTTTTGGTCAAAATCGAAGTCGAGACATTTAATATCGACGCGCTCTGAGTCGTCGGGTCGATATGGATCATTAACTTCCCGCTCGCATAGCGTTATGTTTGGCACTTTTATTGTAAATTATGGCCCATTTGAAACGAAACAAAGCGCATCTTGAATTCTTTCGTTTCGTTGCGACCAGGGGCCGATTCGGAAATATTTAAATCGAATTTTAGCGGGCAAATTCGGTTCCATTACAAGTTCAAGAAGTTTTTCGAAAATTATAACCTTCAATCTGTCCATTCAACCCTTTACTGGCCACAAGCAAATGGAGAGATGGAACACGCAAATCGTCATGCTAATGGAAGTAGGGATTATAAAAGAGGAATACTATGTACAATACCGCCCCGCAAGGGACAACAGGAAAATCACCCTCGGTGCTGTTTTTTGAACGGAACATTCGTTACAAGTTAGAACATGGTGACGAAGGCAGGGACATTACCAACAAATATCGAGGGAAAGAGAAAAGATGCTGCACCACGCGCCCGAGATTCCGACATTGGTCCAGAAGTCCTAGTCAAAAACACTGCTAAACCCCATAAGTTAACACAAACGTTTAGCGTTACCTACTGATAGTGATTACACAGGTCAACAAAAAAATAATTTTTTTTTGCGCATGGGATTTACATAATATATTCTGATTATAATAAGCAAAAATAAATAAAAAGTGTAATTAGACATCGAAAATATTTGCTTTTACAAAAGTTATAGCGATTTGATTGAAACCCTTCAGGGACGAAAATTAAAGCTGGAATCTTTGTTTTCCCTCAAATAAAAAGAAAAATGTAGGGTGATATTTTCCCGCGGTTACTTAGCAAAGAGGAAAAAAAATCCTGGAATAGTTTTAAGGCAATAGTCCATGGTTTCCCGTTCAATGTTTCCTGGGAAACCATAGAGCTAAAAATTATGACGAGCTGACGGGTTTTGGTTTTGCATGATCGGGTATAAAATGTCTCTAAAGATGCACAGGTGACATTCTCATTTAGATTAATTTAAGGATAATATGGGAGCTTATTCGGAATAACAAAGACAACCCTTTCATCAAGACATAATGGAATTTAGGCACGTTACCAAGGCCAGTAAGCCGGAAGCATAATGGAAGATCATATTTGGGGGGTTGATGAGAAAAACTTCAGTTGAACATGACAAAAACAGCAAAACTGTTACATTTTTAAACATTTAGACTCTAAGATAAACAAATTATAAATGTAGGAACGTTACCTTTTAATAAATCATGCCTAAGTAAGATTTTATAGGTATTTTTATTTTTTGGTTTTTTGCATTTTTTTCGCACAAAAACAAATACATAACCTTTTTTTGTTCTAATTCTTATTTGTGGCTATACAAGCAACACAAATAGGGTATATATGTCCCATGCGCAAAAATGCTGTAGACCGGTGTTATTGATTACGTGTTGCTATTACTGATATTTGAAGAATTAATACAGGTGTTGGATAACAAAGGCGACATATTTATTGTCGATTATTAGGGTAGCACACTTACAATCTGTGTTTACGAATTTAAGAGCATAAAAATTATCGCTTAAAAACTGAATATTTAGCTCCACACGCCTTTTATGAAGACCATAATAGTTTCTGCTCTGTACCGGGTATTGTTTAAATTCGTGGCTCACCATTGGGATTCAAGTCACGGTGTGAGATACAATGTAAGTTAGGGGAAATTAAAACGAAATTTAACGTTTTCAGTTTTTCGGCGACATCTTAGTCATTTTCAAAGAGTTTTCAAAAATTTCAAATACGTTTTTTGAGTCACAAAAAGGGGCACCTTTGCCCCCATTTTACCGTTTCGGAGATCCCAATCGCGAACTACAAATTTGAACCACCCTGTACAATCACAAAATTTATAGGTAATAGTAATGTTAAATTAAGCCTGCATAAAATACTTGTAAAAGAATAAGGCTCTAACGTTCTTTTCAAACAGCTATGTGTCTAATGCGAAAATAAAATACCTACTACCGAAGAAACTATATCTTTTTGTACTTGCTTGGAATTGGAATTTATATTACCTACATTCATACTCCATTATACACCGACTATTGGGGTTTGGACCCCTAATTGTTTTATTCACCTGGACCTGGGTGCTAGGTACATACCAAATGAAGAAAACATCAAATATACCTAACTAAATATAAAAATTTAGCCCTATACAATTAACGAGTTGACTCCTATTAATTTAAATTATGGGAAAATAAAACAAAGCTGCAAGTATAAAACAATTAAAAATATAATGATGTGTTTTACCTTGAAGAATTAACTATCGTTTAGAATATTGTCTCGTTTTAAATTTGGAGATTAGTTAATAAGATAACTGCGAACATGAAGCACGTTTTACTAATTTTGCTACTTCCGTCTATCAGTATGGCCCACCTGGTTAGTTATTAACGTAACAAATTTCATTGTACATAATATTGTAACTCTTTTTTTATTAGAGCATATCGGATAAGGTAGACGTATGGGAAGCTGCCGTTGAGCCTTACGTCGAAATATGCAAGACCGAGTCGGGGGTTAATCCGTTGTATCCGGAACGAATGAAGTTTTTGGAATTTCCCGATGAGAAAAATTTTAGATGTTACATGAAATGTCTGTATGAAAACATGGAGGTGATGGACGACACGGGAGTAATTGACATTGCTAAATTTGCCAGTCAGCTGACTCATGGCAATGTAGATCTTGCGGAAGAATGCAAGGGACAAGTTCGCGAGGAAACAGATCTTTGCGAGCTAGCGTATAAACTGTTGCTGTGCACGGTACATTTTGATTCTTAATTAGCTTAAATTTCTACATTGCGCCGCAGAAGATATATTGTCAAATTATGTAGTGTAAATGCCTAATTTCGAAAATATCAAAAAAAATAAATTAATTAATTCACAAAGAATTCGAGAAAACGCGGAAAATACAAAAATTACACGTTTGAATACAAATTACAAAATTATACAGTTTATCATTGACCAACTTCCCACTTTTATGCTCTCCTATTCAATAGAAAAGTCAATCCGCTTCACTTCCACTCATCAGGACGTTATGAAGTTACAGATATATCTGAGCGTCGATATAATTCGTCAAGAACCTTGTGGAATGCAATGCAGTATAGCCTCGCACTCGTGTTGTCCTGTTACTGGAAAGTGTGCAGATTTACGAATATCGAAAATGGTTGCGATTTAGGAGTCGGATTTGGGAAACAAAACTTTTTTTCTTCGTCTGATTAGCTCATTATTTATTGGGTTCTATTGCTCAGGTGAAGGTGGAATTTTTAATTGAGATGGGAACAATTCCTATGGGCTTTAAAAAATGTTTTTCCAAAAATAAAGGCCAAACTTAAAAACTAACCATAGAGTAAAGAACGCGTAATGTAAAAACGAAAATGGTGCTGAAATCAGTGGAAGAAAAACAGCAGCCGACCGACACTTACGCGGTTTTACAGCAAAGAACCGCCAACTCGTATCAGGCGAACATGTCGTCCCGGAGCACGTTTGAACTTATTGATCCGTTTTTAATAAAGAACACGCCCCCCTTGAGTCGACGTAGGCAACTTTACCTTTTATGTGCTTAAAAAAACCCACCCAATAATTTAGACGCAATTTGGTAAATTAATATTGCATTATTAATATTAATAAATAAGTACAGCTGCTGCACACTCTTACAATAATATAATAAAGTAAAGTTTAAAAGTTATGCTTTGGAGATACTGTATTCGTGGATCATTTCGAGCATTCTGACCTTTATGTTGCCCTGTTACAGAATTACGAAAATTTAACAGTGTTATGTGAAGTTGTGTTGCGTGCGCGAGAAATGAGATGTACGTTAGGGAAACAACTTCAAAAAAATATATTGGTCGTTATGTAGGCAGTTTTTTGCCGCTAGATATTTGCAGAAAGTCAAAATTGGTAACACTGGTATTTTTTTAAGGGCCGTTTACCTAATTTTGCATACAGTTAGCGAAACACCTTCTGTAAGTACAAATTCGGTTTATACCTTATCACTGAAGTCTTTTTTTGGTCGTAAGTAGTAGAAAAGTAAATTATGCTTTCTAGTTGTATTGGGGATTAACACATTTGGTCGTTTTTCTTTGTGTACTTCTTTTTAGTACGCGACAAATATTAAATTCGTCGTAATGATCAAACCCACTGAGAATGGCACAAGGTAGAAAACAGGGTTTTCGGTTAGCATATTGCTTTTCATTTGTCATCATTTTCCCTTGATGGATATTCTATTCCGATGTTCCTTTTTCTGGCTTTCTGACTTCTGATTTTTTAAGAAAGCCTTTGTTGAATCCTCTTCTTAGCGACAGACTAAATGACTTAACTTCTACAGTATTCCGCCTTATTTTTTCTGAATGAGACATACACATACAAAATACAAGTAAATGTTCGATCTGATCTTCAGGCATTCTCCTTAATTTATCCCAAGTTTTTCCAAGTTCCGCAAGTGTGTTTTACGGTTTAAATAGCTTCCTTCAAACCCGCATCAAACTCCTTTAAAGCCCCATATATAGTTTCCCTAAAATGTCGAATAGGTTGGACGTAAATTTAAAAAAAACTAAAATTGGTCATTTCCTTGAATGTCTTATGTCATCGAAAGTATACGAGATATAAAAAAAAGGTTTTATATAAACGTTGCTGTCTTTGACACGCTTAATTTAGAATTAATGGCACTAAAAAATATCAAGATGGCTACTTTTGAGCAACATTTACCAACTTCCTAAAGTTAAATAGGCGCCATATTGGATTTTTAGATTACTTAATAGATTTTTTAATTCTCTTTTCAACGAGCTATTATATAATAAAATTGAAAATAAGATATTAGATACACACTGTATAAAGAAGATATAAAACTTTGCGAGAAATATAAAAATACGAATTAATCACCCATTATGACAGTGGTTTAAAATGTGTGTGCTCCCAATTGAAATGAGCTTGCCAGGAAACCCACCCGCCCCTGTTCCGGCTGCTGTTAAATTCATACGCCAAACATTTACTCCTGGAAAAATAAAATGTGGTGTTTAATTTTCTCCAAACTTAATTGAAGTAGCGCGAAAAATCCTAACATCGCATCGGGTATACTTCTTACTAATTGGCACATGATACAAACGCACTTTTTCGCCCTTCGATGTTTCTGAAAATTTAATGTATTTCTTATATTCTTCTCTGAACGGTGCTGTAAGTGAATGTATATGTAAATTTTCCACTCAGAAATTCCTTTTGTCAATTGCACAAATACATTAGGTAAATACAGGTCACTGCCAGAACGAATGTGCAGGCTATTCTTCTTTATCTCGTCTTGGCGCCGAAATATCTTGCTCCACAGTGTGCTCGCGCGGAACGACGGCGGTGAGCCGAGATGTATTATTCAAAAAATTTCTCAGATAGGGCTTAATAGGTTCTGCTTATCCCGGAAGTGGGCAAAAATTTCTTAAGAATAGGTATTCAAAACGGTAAGTAAAGCGACAGTTCATTTTTGGGATCTTTTGATACATTCGCATGAGATTGTGAATGGGAGCTTAAAGAAGCTCTCGTTTTCCATTTTACAAAATAAACCGTGGAGCGACAAATTTTCCTTTTTCACTAAATAACGGCAAAAAAAGGCAAATTATGGGCTTTTGTTAATTATGTGCGTCCACCCCTGGTTGCATGGATGTGTAGAACTTATTATTTAATCCACGTCATTTTTGGTATCACTGACAGTTCACTTTAAAATCCAATAGTTTCCAATTACTTCGATCGTTTGTTCGGTTTTTGTTTGGCAATTTCTGACATCGTAACGACTTTTTTTGTCTCCTTTTAAATAGTATGAGATTAACTTTACAATAAAATGGTACACACAGCAATCTCCGAGAGTTTGTGAACGAATTTTCCGGTGTAAGTTTGCTTGGGAACGTTGTTTACATGTCTGCGTAGGTATTTATTTCCGAAAATAAGCTCCTACTCATAATTTTCTTTCGTATATCAAAAGCTCCGAAAAATAAACTGTAGGTAGCTTTCCTATACGTTTTGGCTATTTTTTCTCGATTTGCATAGTTTTCTCGCTTTAGGGGTTAATGAAAGTTCGCAGGAAATGTTTGGCCTTTTAATACCGTGTATAAAACGAAACATACGCCACTATGATAACAGATACGGCGATTCTACTGAAAACAATTTCGTTTTAAGACATTATTTTTACCACGCAGAATATCAAATGAAAGAAAAATATTTATCTAAAGAAAATTCTGGTTACGAGTGGAAGTAACTGCCCATTTTGCGATTTTCGAACGTTGCCCGGAACGAATTTCCATACAACCATTTTGGATCCTGCGAAAAGTGCCACAATTTAATTATGTAACAGTCCTCTGCATTTCCACTAATGTTTCCGCGATTTTGTTTTCGGTTGTGCCAGCGGTCCACCTTGAAATTGGCTCTTTAGTGAAGGGTAGGGAAATTTTTATTTGCGTAGGTATCCGTTAACCGAAACAAAGAGAGCTGGGGGGCGTTTTGGATAAACAATATTTCAGATAAAGTTTATTTTAAAATTCCAAGTGAAACAAGCATTGGAAATGTAAAAATATGCTTAATAAAAAATTACATGTTTAATACATTTTCTTTCATTTTATGTTCATAAAGTAAAGGCAAACATTATTTTTTTACAAATACTGGTAATTTAAAACTCCTGAATAAAATCTTCAATTTTCTTTTGATTTTTGGCCACTGTAACTTTTTCGGTTAAACGTGATTGCGATTCCTAAAGCTGCAGAAAATTGAGTTTTTACTGTATAAAACGATAATCAAGGCATTCTAAATCTTGTTCCCGTTGAGCTGAAGCATCAACCCTGAACCTCAAACCATCAACTTATCCATTATAGAAGTATTTATGTTCCAACAATCAACAAAGGGCAATTCATTTTCCACTCATCTAAAAACGGACTTGGCATCTGACTTAGGACCTACTGCAGTGTCACATTCTGAAGTTCCTTCCGTCTCTTCTTTCATTACTTTTAGATTTTTATCTGTAAAGATTTCTTTAAATCCAGTAGCCTGTCCTAGTTAAATAGCAGAAGAAGGAGTTCCTTGTATCCTTCATATGAAAGTTTATCCGCTTGCTCCAGTATTTTTTTGTACCTCCATCTGTTATTAAGTAGATCATTTCATCACAATTTCATAACCATAACCATTTTTCTCAGCTTTGCAGAGATGCTAAGCCAAGTTTGAAAACGAATGAACTAAAAAATATACTCCTTTTCGTTTTTCTTTTCCAACTGGACACAGAAGATGAAATATATCGTAACGAATCGAAATGTGTATTTATTATTGCTCTATACGTATTCTACTACCACTTCTCTTTTTATAAGTTTTAAGTACACACAAAATGTATAAGACTACTACGACTACCAAAAGCTGACACAGGATCAAAAAGTGCAAGTGCTGTTGAGATGGTTTTTTATTGGCCCTTAGATTGAGAACCTGCGAGATCGCCTATCAATTCCCGGAAAGTTAAGATTGAGTCAAATTTGCGAATCAAATATTGACAACGGCAATGCAGGAGCTTTTATAGCAGTAATAGAAACGTATCTGTGCTGTCCATTTCATATTACCAACTTCTCTGTTAAATTCTTCTTCCTCTTTTCTCGATTTCTTGTTAAATTTACAATTAGATTCATGTTGGGGTTTTCAATTTTCTCTAAATTACATCTGAATTAATTTTTTCGTTTGAATTAAACATCAGACCTTAATCAATACATAGGTTTGCAGCAATTATCCTTGAATTTCCATGAATTCTTGGTTAATCATTCTTAAAGCCCCCTTGACCTGTTTTTTAGTTTCTGTTAGTTTTGGCGTTTTGGTTTTTATTGGAATTTAAGCATTTATTATGCAGTCAATTCAGTTTAATGGACGTGGTATCTGGAAAAAATCTTTTAAGAATAGTAAGAATCTTATATGTAACTTGTAAATTTCATATTAAAATGTAATTTCTCAAAGCTGGACAGCTTATACTGCAAATTTGGTCATTATCCCAAAAATTTCAACTAATACCCAAAACTTTCAATGTGGAATTGAAAACTTTTCAAGTTTGAAAATTCCGGGCACCGTAAGTTCTAATCATAGATATAAAATAAAAATTCCCCAGTTTGAGTTACAGTATTCGAGGTGAAATTTATTAGTTTAATATCACATTTTCAAAAAAATTCGTTAAGCCGCTTGTGAACAAGAGGCGAAGGGTGCACTTTCAAATTTGTTTTTTCGATTTGAATAGCCCTTATATTTCATGCCTTAACGAGAATACAAACATGAAATAATTTTTAATTTCTGATCGAATGACAACAATACCAAGTCTGTAAGTGGTGTAGTTTCGGAGCCTTTGTGCCTCAGACAGACAGACAGACATCAAGAGCGCAAAAGTGCACTTTTATTTTTTAAAAGTGAAAGTGCACTTTTATTTTTTAAAAGTGAAAGTGCACTAAAAACAATTTGGAATGTTGGAGACAATGGCAAACTCTCTGAGTATAAACCTGACATTTTAAGGAAAGTGGCAATTTTTGATTTTAGTATTTATTATTTAGTATAAGTATTGTCATAATGAACAAATTTCGGTGTTTAAGCTTAAATTTTTAGGACAGAAGATAAAATTCTAATATTTTCCTGATCTCCCCTTATCTTCACAGGGGCGATTAAGGTTGTTAAACAAAACTACTCTTCCATAGAAGTTCATTTTCGAAGACTTTTTCGCAAAGCTTTTTTGGGCTGGCTCACTGGCACTCCTATGAGTTAGCATTGCTAGTAAATGTTTTTGGGGATGGGCAAAGTCGGAGTACCCTGCTGTTGTCAACTACTTTACGTGAATCATTTTTCAAGGAAATCTTTGCGCCAAGTTCTCTTGACATCCATTCAGAATAGCAAAAACTATTTTATAAAGGTATTGCTGATAAGTGTTAAAAGATCCATTTCGCGAACTTCTGGCAGCACCTTGTCAATCGGTTCAAAATCAGTACCTAAGTGACTTATTTTCATGGTCCTACAGGGCCAGAAAATTAACATGGTCCTCTTGTGTGGCCGTCAATTTCTTGCAGCAAATGGCGTAAGGGTAGCTCATTGGTGTGAAATAAGCAATACACCACTGAAGGAGTTTACCAATTTTTAATTCAATTGTATTGTGCTTAAAATAAAAATTAATTTCTTCTACACGGGTGCTAAGGACGTGTTACGGTATTGAAAAGAGAAAAATAATCTCTATTAAATGAGCCTAATGAAAGGGTGCATTGCTATTAAAAAAAATCAATTGTTTTTCGTTATTCATTTGTTTCTGAAATAAAAACAATAGAATGCTTACTTTTTAAAAATGTTAAACAACTTTCATACAGAAAAATGTTGTATACAGTCGATTTGCAGAATGGAAATCAAACTTTGGGATTTTTGAGTCGTAGCTCCCAATCGAAAACCTTACTTTATTTAGCTAAAAAGTTTGTATCTTCTTCCAGCTATTTTTTTGACATCTTGTTGCATCCAGCACAAATAATGGTCGCCAGGAGAGAATGCCAGTATACAATCGTATATTTTTCATATTAAACCATACTATTGTAGAATGTAGACCGGCATCAGGTGTTGTGTGACGGGCATTCTCTCCTAGTGAGCGTCATATACGTCAAATTTAAAAATTGAAGGATTGACGTGCTGTTTAGGCACATTTTAAGCGCGATTTTATCTCTATTATTGTAACTGGTCAGGGTTCCGAAGTCATTACAGTGAAAAGTAAAATAATTCAGTCTCTTTTCTCATAATAATAACCTTCAACCCTCAACAATGAGTTCATGTTCAGTTAAACTCATTTAACTTAGTTAAACCACTAACCGCAAACACATATTTAATGCGCCTATAAATACTACGACTTTTTTGTACCAAGTTTTACACCGTAAATACCCTTCCCAGATGTAAATTACGGGCCGTCTTCTACATTAGGTCTAAAATCCATTAAGTAGAAAGCTCTTACCGATACATTAAATCCGATCACGAATAGGGCTTCGAGGGAAAATTCGATTTCGCCTTATTTAAAAGTATGAATGCTAATGCAAAGTTTTTTCCAGGTTCATCCTTTTTTCAAGTTTACACCGCAAGCGGACCGCTTCGACGTCGCGGTGCTACGTCTAGATCGCACCGCGCATCAGTTACCCCACATAACGCCGATCTGCCTTCCACCGCGCGGTGAAAATTTCCTGGGCGAGGTCGGCGTTGCGGCAGGCTGGGGCGCTTTGAGTCCAGGATCGAGGTTGCGTCCTCAGACTCTGCAGGCGGTGCCCGTTCCCGTGCTCGAAAATCGAGTGTGCGAAAGGTGGCACAGGTCTAAGGGAATCGGCGTAACTATCTACGACGAAATGTTATGTGCCGGTTATAAGAACGGGGGTAGAGACAGTTGCCAGGGTGATTCTGGCGGACCTTTAATGTTACTTAAGCAGGGTAGGTGGTATTTAATTGGAATCGTATCGGCGGGATATTCCTGCGCGCAACCGGGACAACCCGGCATTTATCATAGGGTAGCTCATACTGTAGACTGGATTACAAGAGCCATCGGTGCTTAGTTACCAATTACATAGAATAAAGGTGTTACTTACCTACACCTAATTCTATGCCATTACCTTAAGTCGCTGTTGCTGTGTAGATCAATCACGTTTTAACTGCTTTCTAAGTAATTTATACCAATTCCGCTTACAATTCGTGAAAGTAGAGCTTACTGCGTCTCTTGAATATTTATAATAATTAGTGATAAAAGTGCACACCACATTCTTTAATTAAGCACCACTGATCCCTAACTTTTTAACTAATTTGTCCTGCGCAATGGTTAACTTTAAAGTTTCATTTGTATTTTTAAGTAAAATCGTTAAATTGTATGCTGCGATAATATTCCGGTAATTAGTTTTAATTATTTGTAATTATGTTTAAGTAATTCAGTAATTCCAGTCTTACAGTTAACTACGTTAGTAAGTTATTGCCAAAAAATTGTAAAAAGTTCTTTGATAGGTAATAGTAGAATTAATTGAGTTATTTATGTTATTATTAGTATTTGCGTGCGTGAGATTTATGTGTTTGGGAATGTTCAATTTTAATTTCAGAAATATATATAACTACAACCAACCAACATTTTATTCTATTGCGTTTGCATAAAAGCTTAGAGCTGTATGCGAAGTACATTGATATTATTGCAACTCGGAAACAGTTCGCGACAGTAACAGCAATAGAAACAAGGCATTCACTTCCAATATAACCTTGTACTGCAGTTAGGTATTCTGAACGCAACCCAAATGGCTACTTTGCCTTTCGAAACAAATTTTCTTCTTAGATTCCGTAAGTAACGTTCTCGTGGTTTCAAACGAAATGCAATAATTCTATTCTTTCTGGACGAATCCCTACTTCTCTTTTACATTTACGAAACCACCACAAAATGGTGCTAATAATTAAATTGACCATCTGTAATTAAGAACGTTGAGCCCGACTAATCAGAATCGTTCGAAGATCGTTTATCAATAAAAATAGAGATCGCCAACTTTATTAAGAAGCTACTGCCTTTTAAGTCACTGTAACCCATACAAATTTTGTAGAAACTAACCTTCTAATGGACAGACCTTTTGTACTTCAATGCTCGAACACTACGCAACCCTAAATAAAGGCAATAAAGTCAACCACATTATAGTTACCCGTTGCAACACACAAAGCTAAAGCCTTTTTACGGTACAAATTAGTACAAAATATTAACAAAGTACAAATATTTGTATGACATAGGGTGCTTGGATTTAAGGTGAGTACCTACCGAAAACTATTAGTGATTTTAAAGGCTCTCCTAAAACGATCTAAAAAGCTCTGTAAGAATCTTGGAGGATCTTGGACAGTCTTTCTTTGAAATTATTGGCGGCCCTTAAAGACTAATCAAACCTCCCAGCTCAGCTTCCAAAGACTTTTAAAGGTTCCCAAAGGCCACGGAACCTCTTCGAGACCCCAAAATCTGTTAAAAGCTATAATATATTCATAAAAGCTTTAAGTGTTTTAAAAGCTCTTGGAGGTGCGGCTTCCAAACACTCTTCACGGTCCATAACGTAAATGTCCACCATCCGTCCGAAAGGCATCTTAAGGATTTTTGAAAAATTTCGACCCCATCACGCGCAAAGTGGATGTAGACAAAATACAAAATTGGTATCTACTCATCTGTACATCTGATAAGGGGATAAGACTACGGACAGCAGCGAGGGGATGCAGGCGACCCCGACACTTTCTTTAGGGCGATGGAGGGATTACCAAAAGTAATTGAAAGAGAGAATAGAAGGACTGTGTATGGCAATGTGCAAAAGGTAGCATTATACCTGTTGAGAGACTGCGAGATAAAGGTGGAGTTAACCGAGAAATTATATGTAGCTATCTACAGGATAGAACGGCATTCACAGGATGGAGAAGTACAACTGGTGTACCGCAGGGGTCAGTGATATGACCACTATTATGGTACGTGATCTGTTACATGCCAGGAAGCATAAGGATAACGGGACGCGAGGTGCAAGGTATGAAAAGATACATAGAAGAAGCATGACCATGCAGCCTAAAAAAATCAAAGCAACACTAATGACACAAAGGAGAAGATTGAAGCTTAAAGAAATCACGGTAATGGGCCAACAAATAATGGCAGAGCGGAACATCCATATACTTGGAGTAGAATGGGACAGGAGCTTAACCATCTTGAGGCGATACCCGGCCGCCGCACAGCTCGAGTAGTGAGAGGAAAGGGTTTTAGTGGATGGAAGGGAAGTTCTGTGACAAAATTCGTGCTCAAAGAAAACTCTCCCTCAAGCACATCGCTCTCACAATACTGGTCCCTGACACCTTCGCCCTTAAATTTTCCACCCCCAATCAAAATTCGCCACCTATGAGGCAGACGGGGATAGTAAGTAAACTGTATCTACGGCTTCAAAACGAGCTCTAGTTAAAAATGTTTCTGCTCTTTGTTTAGAGGACATTCGTGACGACTTTATTTAGAGGAAAATTATGATGAATATTCTGGTCGCAAATCTATTTCGTGGGCAAATTTTTCTGGAGCAAATATTACAGGAGTGGGGTTTCCTTATGGCGAATTTACTACATACGTAGGATACTCGTGGTACCATATACTGAAAATCGGCAGACACCCTTGTTAAGTACCAACTTATGGGTGATTTTTAATCTACGAATATTTGCACAGATTCACGTATAAAACTCATTGAGGAACTTCATTTTGTCCGCAAACGAAATAAAATTTTTAATGACGCATTCGGGTATTCCACACGCTTAGTCCTGATTATGAAAATCTTTAAAAGGAATCCTCATTAATTTTAAACGACTAAGCTATTAATTACCCTCTTCTAATATTTAAAGTAGACTGAGACCACCAAAGTTGCGTGAAATGAACTCTATTCAATTTTACGATCTTCCGCAGATGAGCTTGCCACTTTACATATCGGTAAATGAATAGTCCATTAACGGCACGTATCCCGGGGCACAATAAACTACTTCAATAATTTTTTGACCCGTTGAAGCACTACCTACTAAACCATTTCCTTTGAAGTAGTTCGAAATTACACAATTATCGTTTGTACAGCCTCACTTTCTTCCAAAAGTACCAAGAGTAAACCAAACGTGATCGTAATTGAATAAGGAGGAATGTGGGGCAATCTGTATTATTAGCTATCACATTCTGCGATTCCGTTACCGTCACGTTTTTACTGTTATGCAGCATGTAGACAGGGACAGTGTAGGAAGGTAACTTCTTCACGCATTTATATTATGTGGAGCATATAATTTGCACGAAAATATTTGATTCCGTGCCAAACTGTTCCCATTACCAAATAATGTGCGAGTGCAGCTTGGTAATATGGCGTAATGTTTTTCTTTGTGATCATTTTTATGCAATTTTATAACGTGCACGTGCTTTCGTGGAGAATTACGAGTTGGATTTCGGGCGGAAGAAATGGTGAGGAATTTGGTGAAACAGGTCGGTATATTTTTATCGTATTCAAAGTTACGTCTAAGTCTAAGTTACAGGACGGCTATTTGTTACCATGATGGGTTATCCACCAAGATGCGAGAAGAAAGGGGTGTTACATGCTTGCACGTTGTCGGTTGCGTGCTGGTGGGTGGGTGGATCCAGCCAAGCCGGTTGCGGTGCAAGTCCATGGTTGGTGGCATGCTGCGTGAAGTATACCACTAGACATGATGAAAAGGAAATATACAACTCGATCCAGGACGAGGAGTAAGTTGCTCTGATTCATTCTAACCTACCCCTTAATCAATTGCAGGGTGCAGTCCAACCACCTACCCGTGATTCAAAGAAGAAACGAGGATGACGATGAGTGCGGATTGTCTTCTGACAGGATGCTTTCTAAACGAATTATTGGAGGTGACGAGGCGAAGTTTGCTCAATTTCCCTGGCAAGCGCACCTGAAGATTTCCACCTATCAGTGTGGAGGTGCCTTAGGTTAAAATGCAAACCTCAAATCGCGCCTTTTTAAATTGGCCAATTGTAGTTTCACAACGATTCGTGGCAACAGCTGCACATTGTGTCGCAAGAGCATCACCAAAGGACATCATCGTATACTTAGGCGAGCTCGACACGCAGAATACAGGAAGGGTTTTTGAAGAAGCACCTTCTGAACGACACGAGGTACGAAAGTCTCAAAACCAGTAGGTTTTAGGCAACATTTGTAGGTAAAGAAGAAAATTCTTCACCCTTTCTTCAAATTTCGCTCGACACAGCCGGATCGATATGATTTAGCGTTACTCGAGCTGAAGAGAAATGCAGGATACAACTTTCATATCATGCCAATATGCCTACCTGAGCCGGATGTTGATTTGAGAGGAAAGACTGCCATAGTGGCCGGTTGGGGCAAAACTAAACCATCAACCGATCCAACTGGCACAAATATTTTGCAAAGCGCCCAGGTTCCCATTTTAGGTATTAAAAATGTTCGATTCAAAGCGTTTTAATATATCTCACTTTTAGATATAAAAGAGTGCATGTCGTGGCACAAAATTAAAGAAATTACTGTTGAACTTTACGATGATATGCTATGCGCCGGCCACAAAGATGGCAGAAGAGATGCGTGCCTGGGTGACTCTGGAGGACCTTTAATTGTACTAACTTATGGACGATGGACGTTGGTCGGGATAATTAGCGCAGGTTTTGGCTGTGGAGAACCTCACCAACCCGGAATTTACCATTCTGTTCCTGTTACTGCTAATTGGATAGTGTCGGTTATAAACTCCTGATTTTGTGATATTTTACGCGATTTGACCACCGCATTCTTAGTTAAAAAAAGTAATGAATTGATAATACCTGCTTTTATATTTCTCTTTGCTGCCTATGATTTTTTAGGCCCAAATAAAATTGTAGCAATGAACATGGGCGCCCATATAAATATTCTCTAGGGGGATGCCAACTTACAATGTCACTTACGAACTAGAGACCGGTGGAGAGCAAATTGAATGTCGTTACTCTATTAGCTAATTTATTAAAGATCGTCATATAATTGTATATTCCCCTAGCTTTTTTTAGATGTGACCCATCGTTTCAACATTTGATATATAGGTTCTTTTTAACGCAAGAAAGAATGCTGTTGATTGTCATCCAAAGAAGAGAGATATGTGTCATTCATACGTTTTGATTCTTTGAATTGTTCAAATGAAAACACCAAAATAAGAATCCTAAATGTTTCGTTTGGAAACTACAGCCTCAAAGGCCGAAAATTGGGTTTATACGTCAATTTATTTTATGTAAATACCAATGTCGAGATCCGAATTTTTTCGCCATCTAGATAAGAGGTTGGGATAGAAGCTTTGGGAAAACATTTACGAAAGACTGTGAAAAAATCAAATAACAAACGCGGGTTGGAACCCCCACCCCTATTTTATTTGAAAAAAATGTTTGTTTATTGTTCCCTGTATTACCCAGATTTTTTTTACTTCTTTGTTACGCTACTGTATATGTAATTGGCGCGAATCTAACAATTCAAATTGTTCAAGAGAGAAGGCTTGCAAGCAGTGATGCCCGTGATGCTTTTCTTCAAGCAAAAAAGAGAAAGATAAAGAGTTTTTAGTTGAGACGGTAGAAAGATAGTTACCTTTGCTGTGTGTACGGGCCTTGATTTTAAGAAACCAGATAATTCTTTTCTTTAATTTTTTCTTTATAACTGTACCATGAAATAAGTAGGGTGTAGGTAATTGCCTTTGTATTTGAATTTGAATTTACAGGGTCTTTGTCTAAGGTTGCGCAATGCTCGTAAATGGGTTATCACATTTGTTATATATGTACATAATGCTTTCTCATGTACGTAGCGAATTATTTGGTAACGTAGGTAACTTAAATTGCAAGTTGTGCAATAGTTTTGATTTTATGGAAGTTTCCTCTAGTTTAAATAATATTCTGTTCTGCATTGAGAGTTAGGTTGGGATGTTGAATGCAGGGTGTTTATTTCGTTTAGGGATCTTGATTTTGTGTACGTAATTATCGAGTACTATGAAACTTTCCACGTGTATTTTATATTTTAACACAACAGGAAGATGAGTTCAAAATTCAATCATGATATTTGTTGTCGGCTTGTGCGATGGATCGGAGGTTTTTGTTTGTTTTATATGCGAGTGTAAAATATTTCTTGAATTTGTTCTTGTATTGCCATAATCCTTTATTAATTAGTAATTTACGATGCATTTGTTGAAAGATAGCATAATTGATTTTCGAACCCAAAATATAAAAGGTAGACTTCAGGCCGCCTTAGTATGGTTGCTACTAATACGATTTGAGAACTGGCTGAGCATGCGAATGAGAATAATTCCCTCAGATTCGGTAGAAAGCGAGTAGGTTTCGTGAATGGTTTTTTCTCAGACCTGGTCCCTCTGTTAGAAAATGTTGACTAGTCGAAAGAAGCCTCACAAGTAGTTTCAAATAATCTTGATTGAGGTCTATAAAATTAACCCTTCGATATTGCTTTGTTCTTATTTAGTCCATATGTTAGGGAGCGATAATAAATTAATTAATAAGAACACAACGTACGTCCGGATGAGGCGTGAATGCAGGGAAGTGGGCCAGCATTCCACACAACCAGCCACCACCTGAAGGGGAGGAACTACAATTTATTTCCTATTTTGCGAATTATGCAAAATTAATATGCATTTGTAAATTTAATGGGCGAAATCACAATTACTATAGATTAGATCATGATTTCTGACATTTTCAATGTGTCCATTTTTTTAATATTGCTGCTAATAACCATGTTGTGAGTTTGAAACCCATTTGTCATAGATTAGTTTGTGTCGTAGCTATTCATTAATGGAGATTTTTAAGAATTCGAATAATTGTAAGAATGTGCCAATAGGAAGGATCTAGAAAGTATCGAAGAAACTGGAGAGTAAAAGGAAACGGACAAATGTAAAAAATGTTGGGAATATAAAGAATTTATGACGTTAACGAATTTAGAGGATCGGAAAAATCCGAAGAAGCTGATTGGGCGAATCCAAATCAAAACAAAAAAGGAAGAATCTTGAAAAAAATTTAAAAATCGGCAGAGTACGAGGGACGGAAACATCTGTAGAATGGTTAGAATTTGAAGAAACGAAAGAACTTTTAAGAATCTGATGAAAATGAATTTGAAAGATGATGGCGAATCTGAGGAATTTGAAGGAACCAAAAATCGCGAAAATTGGGGAAGTCGAAATACTTAAAGAATCCGAAGAATCTGAAGGACCATATGAAATAATTCTGTCAATAATTTTAAATGACTTCAATATGATTTTACGGCGAATGTATACTGTATTTCAAGGAAACATTTTTCTCTCTCTATTTTGTGTGTCATTCTGGAAAGTAGTGCACCTCGGAAAATTCGCCCCGATAAGTTCACTCCCGGAGTTTTGCTCCCTAGAAAACTCGCCTCACTGTGAATTCGTCCCCACAAAATTCACTAGCGGAAATTAGCGCCCGGAAGAATCGCTCCCTGAATATTCGCCCCGGTAACAGTTTTATTTTTGCAAATACAAATAAATTATTATTGGTGAAATATCACTATAGTTTTTGTTCGAGGACCACTGAATTTTCCAAACTGTATGGTATTTAGACGTGACGAATTATGATTGATGGGTTCTTAATTCCGTTTCCTTTTCGTCCATGCCTGTGGTCCTTCCTCCAGAATCATGTAGCAGTCTTCGGGAGTTAGACGTTTGCTCTTTCCCGGGTCAATTAGTTTTTCGGATGAAACACATTGACAAAGGGCACATTTTTCCCAGCCCATAACTAACGCGTTACAATCCATATTCCTTCTATTCTTCTCCTTCTTCTTTTCTTATCCTTATTCTTTTCTTGTCCTATTCTTCTCCTTCTATTTTTCTTTTCCTTATCTGACTTAAATTAACTGTACTTCCTTCGTCTGTAAATAAAAGAAAAAATATATGTGGCGATGAACGTCACACACATAACGGAGCTGAGACGTTTTGGGCCGTACCTATCGGTTTCTTTCACGTTTAGCGGAGTTACAATACTAAAAACTAGGATTTTGTGCAATATAATAATTTTTAAGAGCTATAAAAAAGACTAGGAGCATGGTTTTCTTAAAACCAGGGGTTATTGAATTATAACCAAAGTACGCAACTGCATGAATACGAAAACCTCGGATTTTGACGTCATTTCCAGTAACCGGAAGTAGGAAGTAGTCGTGTGATATATCGCTGTAAAGATATTTTTAAGAGCTATAAAAAAGATCAGAAGCATGTTTCCATAAAAACTCATAGTTTCTGCAGAATAAGGCACACCCCATATTAAGTAAGGCCTAATCTTTGAACGGCCGCCATTTTGTTTTTTGATAACTGTTTGTAGGCCTCCCTATCTTAAAATCATCAGGACTATACCCCGACCAATACCTGTGACTGCCCTTTCACAATCATGTTAATGTTAATGGTAATGGTAACGTAATGTTAGAATGTTAAACTCCAGATAATGGCATTACAAGCAAAGCGTTCACAATGATGGTAATGGTAATGTTAACGTAAGATGGTAATGTTAAGGTCCAGAAATTTTCTGGATCTACTAACATCGGCGTTAACAGCCTCCAATAGAATTGCAGCTACGGTAAAATGCAGCGCATGCGCATGTGTTGACTGCTGACCGCGTGAACTGTCACCCATCGCGTCATATTTATTTAAGCTCTGCAGTTCGTTTGAATTTCTCGTTTGCCTTGTTGTTTTCGTGTGCAATTGCTGGTTTTTGTTATTTGCTGTTGCGTTCGGTGCAATGATGATTGTTGACGTCTCGTTACTGTTGGAGTTAAATACAACAATACCCATTCCTCTACGATAAACAACGCAGCGATTTTAAAGACATAAAGAAAAAGAACAACGCCTGGATTGAAATTGCTGAAACCCTTAACTGTAATGGTAAGTTTCCAAAAAGCATTATTATTTTGAGTCTTTAATATTGAGGTTATATTTATATTTAAAGTGGAAGAAGTGAAAACTCGATGGCGAACACTCCGGGAGAGGTTTACGAAGGAGATAAGAAACCATGACTTAAATACGAGAAGTGGACAAGGCCAAGAAGACACCATTGGGAAATGGGAGTGGTTCGATAGCATGGCGTTTTTGAGCGACCACGTCAAGCAGCGAAAAACTACAAACAGCAGCCTGACAAAAGTTAGCAACAACAACAATGGTAAGTTATTTGCTAGAGTGTAATAATAAACAGACATTGCGATGATTGGTCGTTGCAGGTACCGAAGAGGGCACGGACGCAGAATTAGCGGGCAACAAAGAAGATGAAAATGAAGACAGAAGCTTATTGCCTCCCTGTTCATCATTGTCTGGGGAAAACCATCAAACACCAAGGGCGAGTATGAAGCGGAAACAGTGCCAGGGAAAGGACTCCAGCATCGAACTTGAGATGCTGAAGACTTTGAAAGACCTTGACAAACCACAACAGGACGATGAAGATGACATTTTTTGCAAAGCCGTCGCATGTGAATTAAGGAAAGTAAATGATACTCAAGAGAAGCAGAAGAGGAAGGCAAAAATTTATTTAATTGCTACAGGCATTGAATTGTAATACATAGTTTCTTAATAATAATAGTTCATAATTTGTTGTACATATTAACTTGAAAATATTTCACTGAAATTTTTACATCCTTCTGCCCCTGTTCACATAATTAACTTGCCCAGGCAACGCTCCTGCACGGCTTATGAGGTACTGAGTTAATGTTTCTCGTAATTGTAGCGCTGCTCTTCCAGGGTTATTCCCTCCCCTCCCGGTTTTGTGTACGTCTTGTAAGGTCACATTTCCATTTTGCTCCACTTCTCTCCTCCAAGCACCTGGTACTATTCCATCATCCGTTTCACTGTCACAAAATGAAGCCGGGCAATATT